GATTGGAATTCCTAGCTAGCTAGCTAGCCTCTGTCTAGCCCCCCCCCCTCTCCTCTTCCAGCCCTCAGTTCTCCCGCAATCCATCCAAAGTCTCCCTCCCGACAAATCCATCCCGAAAACGAAAGCTCACATTTTTGTTCTTCCTTTGCTCGCTCGCTCACTCACTCACTCACTCGCTCGCTTAGCTTTCAGCTTCAGGCAACGACTGCTTGCCCTCGCTACTACTGCTGCTATAAGCCGAGCTTCGCTACTGCTGCTGCCGGATTCTTTGGATAGCTGCTGCTGTTGCTGCTGATGGAAAGAGCTGGACGAGAAAAGGGAAAGTAGGGTTTTTGGCCAAGCAAGCATGCCGCAGGCTTACTTGCTATCATCCATCCCTTGCTAATGACGTACACTGCGCGTTGCCACAACACCACCACCAATGCACACAAATCCACGAACACACACACACATTCATACACAAACACGTACGCACACATGCACACACACACATACGCGCACACACACGTACACAAACACATACGCACACACGTACGCATATACAAACACAGAATCCATAGAATTCACGCAAAAATATATACATATATTTATAAGCATTCATAAGCATACTAATATTCACATACATGCACTCACATACACACGTACACTCAAATACACTCACATGCAATCCGCACACACACACACACAAACAAACAAACACACACAGAAACACATACACATACAGTGCGTTCCAGGTAACGAAACTTGCTAACGGTCGCGAAACTTCCAGTTTTCACTTTTCCGGTAACACCCTCTTCCCATCCCATCGAGAAGGCAAAGAGTTAATTTCATCACTCGTACCTTCCCCTCCTCCATTTTTTCCCCCGTCTCTCGCGCATTTCATATTGCAGCAGCGTCACAAAGTAATTACGAATACAAAAACAAACTTGCAGGGGATTACACAAGCAGCGGCGAGGAAATCAACGTTAAGAACAGGCTCGATCTGTACGGACAACGAAAAGTCCGGGGAATCAAGGCAAGAAGGACGGGAATGAGCGATGGTAAAGAAAGAGGAGGATGGAGAACTGCAAAATGGAAGCTAAGACTCAGTTTTCCCTCATTAACGGCATTTTGTTGAAAATTACCGTTATTCAAAAAACAGTGATAAGTTATCGATTTGAACTTCATTGGTACTATTTTTTAAATATTCCCTCCTACAATTTATCATCGAATCTACGGAAGGAACGCGCTTTACGCGATTGGCAATATGAAAAACATGCCAACAAAAGATCACTGTACCAAGTGCACCTGTCTTTACCGCACTGCCTCATTTATGTCATCTACTAAATTACTAGCTATGGCAACAATCCCCCATAATCCCCGTCGTCCACCACTTCCGAAAAAAATGCTGTATTAAACGACATGAATTCGTATTCTACAGCAGGACAGGGGAAAACAAATCAGCCGTATTTGGAACGTACGATTTAGCTTCGGCCAAAATTATGGAACAACAACAACAACATAATAATAATAATAATAGTAATAATAATAATAATAATAATAATAATAATAATAATAATAATAATA